ACTTTGTCTGCCTCGAGCAACCAATCAGAATTCAGCTCCTGCCAGTCAGACATCTTTAACCCATTGAGAGCTGCCTTGTGATTGGTTGATATGAATCAGGCTCGCTGTCACTCAGATCATTATTTTACCCGACGGATTGGGTTCATTGACTCATTCTTATTTCATTTTTCCCCCCAATATTTTGAAGAATGGAGGGGAACTTCAGTACCGCGATGAGGATCAATCTATAGGCGTAGGCCCGATACAAGAACACCAAGAATGTGGGGGGTTTATCGACCGCTGTTCTGGTTTTAGTTGATCTCTGTTCTGGTTTTAGTTGACCTCTGTTCTGGTTTTAGTTGACCTCTGTCCTGGTTTTAGTTGACCTCTGTTTGGGTTTTAGTTGCCCGCTCTTTGGGTTTTAATTGGCCGCTGTTTGGGTTTTAGTTGACCTCTTTTCTGGTTTTAGTTGACCTCTGTTCTGGTTTTAGTTGTCCTCTGTTCTGGTTTTAGTTGACCTCTGTTTGGGTTTTAGTTGCCCGCTGTTTGGGTTTTAGTTGCCCGCTGTTTGGGTTTTAGTTGACCTCCGTTCTGGTTTTAGTTGACCTCTGTTTGGATTTAGTTGGCCGTAGTTCTGGTTTTAGTTGACCTCTGTTCTGGTTTTAGTTGAACTCTGTTCTGGGTTTAGTTGACCTCTGTTCTGGTTTTAGTTGACCTCTGTTCTGGTTTTAGTTGACCTCTGTTTGGGTTTTAGTTGCCCGCTGTTTGGGTTTTAGTTGCCCGCTCTTTGGGTTTTAATTGGCCGCTGTTTGGGTTTTAGTTGCCCGCTGTACTGGTTTTAGTTGGCCGTTGTTCTGGTTTTAGTTGCCCCCTGTTTGGGTTTTAGTTGATCTCTGTTCTGGTTTTAGTTGTCCTCTGTTCTGGTGTTAGTGTACCTCTGTTTGGGTTTTAGTTGCCCGCTGTTTGGGTTTTAGTTGCCCGCTCTTTGGGTTTTAATTGGCCGCTGTTTGGGTTTTAGTTGCCCGCTGTTTGGGTTTTAGTTGCCCGCTCCTTGGGTTTTAATTGGCCGCTGTTTGGGTTTTAGTTGCCCGCTGTACTGGTTTTAGTTGGCCGTTGTTCTGGTTTTAGTTGCCCGCTGTTTGGGTTTTGGTTGGCCTCTGTTTTGGTTGTAGTTGACCTTTGTTTGAGTTTTAGTTGCCCGCTGTTTGGGTTTTAATTGCCCGCTGTTTGGGTTTTAGTTGCCCGCTCTTTGCGTTTTAATTGACCTCTGTTCTGGTTTTAGTTGACCTCTGTTTGGATTTAGTTGGCCGTAGTTCTGGTTTTAGTTGACCTCTGTTCTGGTTTTAGTTGAACTCTGTTCTGGGTTTAGTTGACCTCTGTTCTGGTTTTAGTTGACCTCTGTTCTGGTTTTAGTTGCCCGCTGTTCTGGTTTTAGTTGAGCTCTGTTCTGGTTTTAGTTTACCTCTGTTCTGGTTTTAGTTGCCCGCTGTTTGGGTTTTAATTGCCCGCTGTTTGAGTTTTAGTTGACCTCTGTTTGGGTTTAGTTGACCTCTGTTTTGGTTGTAGCTGACCATTGTTCTGGATTTAGCTGATTGCTGTTTTGGTTTTAGTTCACCGTTGTTCAGTTTTCGTTAACCTCTGTTCAGGTTTTAGTTAATCTCTGTTCAGATTTTAGTTGACCTCTGTTCGGGTTTTAGTTGACCTCTGTTCTGGTTTTAGTTGACGGTCAGTCTGGTTTTACGCCTCCATTTTGTCTATCTGCATCATGAATTGGCAGAAAAGATGGCACCTCAAAACTTTATCGACACCCACTGTGAGCAACCCAGCCAAGGCCTGCTCCTCCGTTAGTCTCATTTACACCTAGACACGTGCTAGGAACCGCAGGGAGCTTTTTCACCTCGGCTCTTGACTCCGAGCCTTCAATTATGCTGGTCAATTCAAATGCAGTGTTATTTTTACAACCGCCTGCGATGAGGAGGGAACTGGAAAGTGCGAGGCCCGGTGTCAGCCATTTTGTGAATGCTCCCCTCCACATCCTTGGCTGATGAAATGGAGGACGTCCTTCTCTCCAGGGCGCAGTGACAGCGGCTGACCAGAGAGGGAGCTGTTTCTACACTGCTGGTTGTCATTCCAGTGGTCGGAGTGTTTGTGTTTCAGGGATAAGTCACTGCTGACCTGATTTGGATTTGCAGCTTGGAGAACGAAGCACTTACCTTGCTGACACATTGCACACAGGCCTCCATGGATGCGTGCTCAACACAAATGCTCTTCAGACCCATTTTTTTGTCACAGTTAAAGCGCTTCATTTACCATTAAATCTGAGCTTTCCTATCACTAATGACACTTTGCAGTCATCCATTGGTGATGTTCACTAAAACATAAAAAAACACTACAGCTTGTAACAATAGAAATAAGAAATGAAACAAAAGGAGAAAAGCTGATTGCGGGCCCTCCTCACCATCTTGTCTTGATTACTGTTATGTCTTCCTTATATTTAAAGTGCTTTGCATACTGTTGGAGCATTATAAGTCCTGAATAATAATATCTGTGATCTGTCTGTCTGTCTGTCATCATATTATTATACAGGATGTATATAGCTCCAACAGTTTACACATCGCTTTAGAAAAGAGACTTTACAGTTATAATACAATTCAAGACAAGAGGGTTAGGAAGGCCCGTCTTTCTTTCTTTCTTTCTTTCTTTCTTTCTTTCTTTCTTTCTTTCTTTCTTTCTTTCTCTCTCTCTCTCATTCTGTTTATAGTTTGAACCTTAAATTCATACATAAATTATTTTCCCCCACCATCCATCTCTCGCTCTGTCTTTGCATCTCTCCCTCTATATATATATATATATCTCTTTGTATCTCCCTTTCTCTCTCCCTTTCTCTCTCTCTCTATCTCCCTTACTCTGTCTCTCTTTTTTATCTTTCTGTCTTTGTATCTTCCTGTCTCTCTCTTTGTTTATATATTTCTAACTGTATTTATCTCTTTCTCTCTCTCTCGTATCTTTCTCTCTTTCTTTTTATATCTCTCTCTCTCTTTGTTTCTTTATCTCTCGCTGTGTCTTTTTTTCTCTTACTTTGTATCTCTCTCTCTCTCTCTCTCTCTCTCTCTCTGTATCATTCTCACTCTCTCCCCCTGTATTTTTCTCTCACTCTCTCTTTGTGTATCTCTCTCTCTCTCTCTCTCTCTCTCTGTATCTTTGTCTCTCTCTTTGTTTTTGTTATCTCTCTGTATATCTCTCTCTCTCTCTACTCTCTCTTTGTGTATCTCTCCCTCTCTCTCTCTCTCTCTCTCCCTCTCTCTTTGTGTATCTCTCTCTCTCTCCCTCTCTCTTTGTGTATCTCTCTCTCTCTCTCTCCCTCTCTCTTTGTGTATCTCTCTCTTTATCTCTCTCTCCCTCTCTTTGTGTATCTCTCTCTTTATCTCTCTCTCCCTCTCTCTTTTGTGTATCTCTCTCTTTATCTCTCTCTATCTCTCTCTCTATCTTTGTTTCTTTATCTCTCTATCTTTGTTTCTTTATCTCTCTATCTTTGTTTCTTTATCTCTCTGTGTATCTTTTTCTCTCTCTGTATCCTTCTCTCACTCTCTTTGTATCTCTCCGCCTCTCTCTCACTCTCTCTTTGTGTTTCTCTCTCTCTAGATCCGATCTCTAGACACATACAGTATGTGTAGAAGTGTAACATTTATTAGCACCATGTTGGATGTAGATGGTGTCATGTGATGTATTCAGAGTCAATGCGCTCCATTAGTATCTCGTCGGAGGTAATTTCTCAGCGTTGGAAGCGTGGTGCGTTACTACAGAAGGGGAGCTCCAGGCGGCCGGCGGGGTGGCTGCGCAGCCTTCTATGTGAAGGAGAGGGAAGCGGCTCCATCTGATTGTATGATATTATACGTCCCCCTTCCCTGCCACCTATAACCACATTAGAGGTCACAGAGGAGTTTATCACCCGCACAGAACCAGGAGACTCCATACCGTACAATATATTGATTGGAGAGGACGCAGAGCCGTCATCTGCCTATACTAGTTTTGTCTGCAGTGTAAGGATACAAACCCCCCAATGTGCCCAGTACAGTCCTTATGTTTTACAGAATTTGTTTTATTTAACATTCAGGTCAGAGCGATATTCCCACTTGACATGAATCATTTGAGCGCCCATCACTTCCACACTCCATTATTATTGTGGGTACAAAGTTTTTTCTTGGCAACAAAACAATAATTCTAATGATAATAATAATTCTAATAATAATTCTAATGATAATAATAATTCTAATGATAATAATAATTCTAATAATAATATAGCGTGTGACCTCTTAAAGCCGTCCAGATCCCAATGTCTCAGGTTACTAGGAAGCATTGTGGGTGTTATGCATCATTAAAGACTGCCGGTGACCCTCTCTTCCTGTGTAGTTGTGAAATAAAAGCGAAGAATACGAATTTAGAATACTTTACCTTTTGTTCTCTGATTATTGAAACTTTGCTTCCCGGGATTGTATATGTTACAAAATCCAAGGCACATATTGGCTTTCCAGTTACCCGAATTTAAAACCCATACATTGTATCTTGTTCTATGACACAGAATATGTTTCTATCATAATATAATCGTTGGATAATAATCATACAATTATAGAACGTGTCTTAAAGGTTTACTGTCACGTGTTGCTCAAAAAAAAAAAAGAATGATGAAAGTAGACAATACACTGTGAGACTCTGCCATTGATGTGTACCTGCTGTCAACTACTATCAGGCAGCAGCTGGAAGATGGAGAAGAGCAGACATTAGACTGGGTCATGTGGTCCCTCATCCAACACTGCTCATGATTTAAAGTGGAGTCTGCACATATTCATGTCACCATATACAAGGACAGGATCATTGATCAGAGAAGCTCCACATTTTATCATGAAGAAAGTGTTACATTACACGGAAATATATATCTCTCACCCTCCATCCACTTTAGATAAACCTGGAACTGCATCTCTCTTCTTCCGTCCCTATAATTAGCTGCGTTTTGCCTCTCGCAGGTCAGAAACGAATCTTCTCTCATTCTGGAGGATAAGATCCCTGCCATGAAATGTCAAGTGGAAGAACTGAACAAGATCTACAAGCGAGTAGATAAGTTGGAGGTTTGTTATCAGTTTGGATAATAATTCCATTTATTGACGTTCTCCGGTGTTTGTGCGTCGTTTGTAATGTATTCATTTTCAGTTTGTCGGTATTGCTGCAACAGATAGACGGAAATATCAGATCTAAGAGCAGTGGAAAATAGTAACACAACACAACATAACACAACATAATATAACACAACATAACACAACGCAACATAACATAATATAACACTTTGACAACTTTTTCCATAATCGATTGTAATCGATTATTTCGATTAGTTGTTGCAGCCCTAAACATAATATAACATAACATAATATAACACAACATAATATAACATAATATAACATAACGCAACATAACATAATACAACATAATATAACATAACGCAACATAACATAACACGACATTACGCAACATAACACAACACGACATGACGCAACACAACATTACACGACATGACGCAACATAACACAACACGACATGACGCAACATAACACAACACGACATGACCCAACATAACACAACACGACATGACGCAACATAACACGACATGACGCAACATAACACAACACGACATTACACAACACGACATGACGCAACATAACGCAACACGACATGACGAAACATAACACAACACGACGTGATCCAACAAAACACAACACAACATTACACAACACGACATGACGCAACATTACACAACACGACATGACGCAACATAACACAACACGACATGACGCAACATAACGCAACACGACATGACGAAGCATAACACAACACGACATGATGCAACATAACATAAACAAAATAAATATTAGAGTTCCACCTGAACTATTGACAACAATGTATCTTATTTGTGTATCACTCGGCTGTAGATCCTCCAATCATCTCTGACACTGTCCTTCCTTCTGGAGGGGGGCTACGTCTGTTCCCCATGGTGGTCCCTGTGTGTGTTGTAAAGTAGTCACCGCCCCAAGTTCCACCCCCTTGGATGGACTACAATACCAATCAGTAAACTAAACATGAGATTGTAGTCCATCCCGGGAGCGAGCTCGGAGCGGTGACTACTTTACAACACACACAGGGACCTTCCCACCAGCCATGATCTGCCTGCATTGCAAAAATAATCACAGAGACCCGGTTGATGATATCACCGGGTCTAAAATAAGTTATGTAACAAAAATAGAAAGGTTTTTAATCATAATTAGGAGGTTGATGAGGAGGGAGTTGCTTTTATGATAGGTGCCTTATTTTTTTGACTTAATTGTACCAATTTGTATGGTCCCTAGCATTTTAAGGGCCCACTGGCTTTTCAGGATTGGCTTATGATACATCGATGCAAATATTGGGCCTTTGGCCATGTATTCTTTTGTTATTTTGTCCTCTGCCACATTATATTGTATGGGTCTTGCAACTGTGATTTTCATCACC